GCCAGGATTGTCTCAATCTCCTGACCTCGTGATCCACCTGTCTCGGCCTCCCAAAGTGCTGGGATTACAGGCTTGAGCCACCGTGCCCGGCCCTCTTTTCTTTTCTTTTCTTTTTTTTTTTTTTTGAGACAGGGCCTTGCTCTGTCACCCAGGCTGGAGTGCAGTGGTGTGATCACAGCTCACTGCAGCCTCGACCTCCCAGGCTCAGGTGATCCATCCACCTCAGTCCCCCAGGTAGCTGTGATCATGCCACTGAACTCCAGCCTGGGCAACAAAGCAAGATCCTATCTCTAAATTTTAAAGAAGTGCAAAAATCTGGATGTAAATATTTACACTGGTCTTATTCATAACCACCAAAAACTAGAAACAACTAAAATGGCTTCAACTGGTAAATGTATAAACACAAAGTGGTACGTTCACAAAATGAAATACTACGCAGCAATAAAAAGGAACGAGCTACAGATACACACAGCAGCACGGCAGAATCTCAGATGCATTATGCTCAGTGAGAGAAGCCAGACTCAAGGCTACTTTTTGGAGGATTCTATTCCGGAAAAGGCAAAACAATGGTAACAAGAAACAGATGGGTCATTGCCAGGGACTAGAATGGAGAGAGGGACTGACTACAAAGGACAAGTGGGAACTGGGGGTGAGGATGGGTACTGGAACTCGTGTGTGTGTATGTGTGTTTGTATACGTGTCTATGTATATATATGTGTGTGTGTGTATTTTTTGAGAGACAAAGTCTTGTTCTGTCATCCAGTCGAGTGTAATGGCACGGTCATAGCTCACTGCAGCCTCGAACTTCTGGGCTCAAGGGATTCTCCTGCCTCAAACCCCCGAGTGGCTGGGACCACAGGCTCACGCCACCATGCCTGGCTAATTATTATTTTTTTGTACCGACAGGATCTTGCCATCTTACCAGGTTGGTTTCCAGCTCCTGGGCTCCAGCGATCCTCCCCTCTCAGCCTCCCAAAGTGCTGGGATTACAGGTGTGAACCACTGTGCCTGTCCTGTCCTATATCTTTTCTTTTTTTTTTTTTTTGACAGAGTCTCACTCTGTCGCCCAGGCTAGAGTGCAGTGGTGCAATCTTGGCTCACTGCAACCTCCATGTCCCAGGTTCAAGCAATTCTTCCTCAGCCTCCCAAGTAGCTGGGATTACAAGCACATGCCACCACGCCCAGCTAATTCATGTATATCACCATGTTGGCCCGGCTGGCCTTGAACTCCCGGCCTCAAATGATCCACCTGCCTCAGCCTCCCAAAGTGCTGGGATTACAGGTGTGAGCTACCGCGCCCGGCCCTGTCCTATATCTTGATCGTGGAAGTGGTCACTTTACTGTATATGTTTGTCAAAACTCCTGGAACTGTACATTAAAAAGAACTTTTCCAGGCGCATGGCCCATATCTGTAAACCCAGCACTTTGGGAGGCTGAGGCAGGTGGATCACTTGACACCAGGAGTTCGAGACCAGCCTGGCCAACATGGTGAAACCCCGTCTCTACTAAAAATACAAAAATTAGCCGGGTGTGGTGGCACACGCTTGTAGTCCCAGCTACTTGGGAGGCTGAGGCAGGAGAATTGTTTGAACACTGCAGAGGTTGCAGTGAGCTGAGATCATGCCACTGCACTCCAGCCTGGGCAACAGAGTGGGACTTCGTCTCAAAATAAATAAATACATAAATGAATAAAGAGGACAGTCAGACTGTGCACAGTGGCTCATGCCTGTAATCCCAGCAGTCTGGGAGGCCAAGGCAGGAGGATCCCTTGAGCCCAGAAATTCTTTTTTTTTTTTTTGAGACGGCGTCTCGTTCTGTCACCAGGCTGGAGTGCAGTGGCGATCTTGGCTCACTGCAACCTCTGACTCAAGGGTTCAAGCGATTCTCTTGCCTTAGCCTCCCGAGTAGCTGGGATTACAAGCGCCCACCACCACGCCTGGCTAATGTTTATATTTTTAGTAGAGACGGGGTTTCACCGTGTTGGCCAGGATGGTCTCGATTTCCTGACCTCGTGATCCACCTGCCTCGGCCTCCCAAAGTGCTGGGATTACAGGTGTGAGCCACCGTACCCAGTCAGAGCCCAGGAATTCAAGACCAGCTTGGGCAACATAGGGAGACCCTGCCTCTATTAAAAAATTAAATAATATAAAAATAAAGAGGATAGTTGCTTCTGAGCTCCAGCTGCTGACGTGGAAATAAGGGCCCAGTGTTGTCAGGTGTTCTGATAGTTCAGGAAAATCCTTTTTTTTTTTTGAGACGGAGTCGCGCTGTGTCACCCAGGCTGAAGTATAATGGTGTGATCTCGGCTCACTGCAACCTCCACCTCCTGGGTTCAAGCGATTCTCCTGCCTCAGCCTCCCGAGTAGCTGGCACTACAGGCATGGGCCACCACGCCCGGCTAATTTTTGTATTTTTAGTAGAGATGGGGTTTCACCATGTTGTCCAGGCAGGTCTCGAACTTCTGACCTCAAATGATCCGCCCACCTTGGCGTCCCACAGTGCTGGGATTATAGGCGTGAGCCACCGGTGCTCAGCCAATTCTAACATTCTAGTGTCTCTATAACATGAAATGTCATGATTTTTACAATGTTAGCAAATCATTCAAAATTTTAATAAACTGTCTAGATGTTAGTTTTTACTATGGTAAAAACATGGTCACCCCTTTTGCTCCTAAATCACCCTCAAAGTAAAAGAGAACAAGAAACAGAAGCAGAAAATCCATATTTAGTGAAATAAGGCAACACCTGTAGCTCCAAACCTGTAGAAGCAGATCCCAGTGAAAAGCAGGCCGGTTCTCTTGGAATCCCATAAAGTCTCAGGAATTGGAGGCTTCAGTGCTGCAGTAGGGAGGGGACTAAAAACAAAGTCTGTATATGGAGCAGTAAGACCTCCGGGTTCTCATCCCCCATCCTGTGCGCTCTCGGGTGACTAGCTCTCTCCCTCTCCAGGTTTGGCTTATGGAGAAATGAAATCACAGAGGCTCCAGAACTGAGGACAGCAGGCATTGAGTGCAAGGAGTGAGTTGCCACAGGCTGGGAGCAGAGAGATTTAGTGGCAGTGGGCAGAGCAAACAGCAAAATGACTGCCCTCTTCCCTGGCCTTGCTCCAGAAACTGAACAGCCAGACATACACACTCCCAGAAGGCAATTGGAGGTCCCCCTGGGCAATCAGAACCACCCACAGAGAAGACCTCCAGATACTGACATTTAGAAGCCTCTGACCAAGGAGCTGCCTGGCCACCCACTGGCTTACTTGCTGACAGGCCATGCTCCTGCTGTACACACTGATCCTATCAGTCATCCTCATGGGCTTCTTTCCAGACTTCTGAGGAAAGCTTCCAACATGAAGAGGGAGTTCAAAACAAACTAAGAGAGAGAGAAAAATAAATAAATAAACAAACAATGCAGGGAGCAAAAGATAACTTCAAATAAACTCAAAATATTCTTCGGGGAGAGATAAGAGACAATATTGCATACATAAAACAAGAAAAGGATGCTGTCACTAAATTTTAAAAAAAGTAACAAAGTAAGAAAGACCTCTAAGAAATGTTTCTGAAATGAGGTGTGTGTGTGTGTGTATACACACACACACATGCATATATACATATATTATTTTTTTTTTTTTGGAGAGGGAGTCGCACTCTGTCACCCAGGCTGGAGTGCAGTGGCGCAATCTCAGCTCACTGCAACTTCCACCTCCCAGGTTCAAGCGATTCTCATGCCTCAGCCTCCCGAGTAGCTGGGATTACAGGCACACACCACCATGCCTGGCTAATT